GGTCATCATTATTATTCTATGCAGTACTAGCAGGTCCAAAATCACAATTTCTAAAATGTATTTACTTTTCTGAGAGGAAATCGTATTGATTTAAAAGTTTGAAGATTGAAAAATAAATCTACATTTATGAAGAAATTATTAATTGTACCATTTAAATTGAATGTATACACAGAATGTGACTGACAAACGGAATGATAAAATCTTGATTTTTATTGTGCTGTACAGTAGGTAAACATGATTTAGCACAACTTCGAACTAAAATTTCTAGATTTTGTGCCATAAATTATGTCTTAATCATGATTAGACCGCAATGATTTTAAATATTCAGCATAAAAAATCCAATAATGTATTATATGGACTTGTGGAATGATTTTTTTTATGATTAGCGTTAGTATTCCAAAGCTAAACTACATGTGGAAAACTATTCTTTTATCGGCACCGATTTATTAGACAGAATTTCTTTGGTTCATTACACTTACCTACTTACTTACTTTACTTATTTACTTACTTATCATACCTTACCTTACCTTACTTACTTACTTACTAACTTAATTACTTACTTACTTAGGCCTGTTACCCTCAATGGAGCGTAGGCCGCTGACAAGTATTCTCCATTTAATGATCTGCGCAAATAATATTTTTTATAGTTTTACTCACTAACAGATGGCAAACTAAACATTTAAGATATGTATTCACCGTTCGGCCACCAAGTTATTGTCATTTTGTAGCAAAATCTTACTGACATTCTTACCTTAAAGAAAACTGATGAAAATAAATTTTTATCATTATGCCTACATTTAAAAGTAGCATACACATAAACATTGAAAACTCCATTTCAAGCATTATTCATTAAGAATGTTTAAGTAAATGTCCATTCTTAACTTATTACTTATATGTAAATCAATAAAATTCTGTGCCTAAATAGTTATACAATCAAGTCATTTTGCTGAATAAAGATATATTTACTTTTTCTGTGTGAAACTACGAATAAAAGCGAAAGCACCGATTAGCTTGAAGTATCACTAACAAATGATAGTTGATACATATACATATACATGGTGGATACATATTAGCAAATCAGTTAATATTTCGATGCTTAGAAAATTGTTACTGCGTACTGCTAAGTAGTCAGTCCTATAATAAAATATATTGTCTATTCAGTATTCCTTATATTATAACTGCTATCATGGTTAACTTTGATTTAAGATGCATGTTATTTTCACACATTCTCAATGTATCTAGTTCTACATACGGAAAAAGATAAACAGAAATTAATTCAACTTTTTTTTTTTTTTATTGAATGTGAATAATTTTGCTTCTTTAAAGATTTTCTCATCGCTTAAAATGGAACTTTTCCTGGTTATTTTCTAGACTGAAGTCTAATCTTATTTTTTTTTAGTTAATGTTTTTTGTCTCCAATTCTCTGGGTAGTTGTGTTCTTGGTCTTTCTCTTTTCCTTTAGCCTTGATAGTGTCTAATTACGGTTTGCCTTGTGATGCATTGGATGCTTTCCTAAATATGTTTCCTGATTTCTTCCTTAGCTGAAATCTGGTTTGTTCTGTCCCGTGGTCGGTTGTTGCTGATGGTGTCTGAATAACGGATTTGCACTATATCATGTCAACAACTGTTAATAAAAACACATTTATCTTGTGGATAATGACTTTGTTGTTCCTCAAGTTTCCGCTTCATACAATAGAAATGTATTAACGTTTGTAATGGAAATTGCTTCAGTTTAAGATGTTTTTCAATCGTAGAACTTCTAACCTTGATTTGCTAATCCGTGTCTTCACATGTTCTTCCAACTTGTTTATAGATGATGCTGCCCATATATGTAAGTGTTTTGTACATGTTCCAAAGCTTCTTTGACAAATGTGATTTGGTTTGACCATGTTAAGTTGTATTTAAGAAAGGTACCTTTTTTTTGGTGTGTGTTGAGACCCACTAATTTCGTAGCTTCTGCTTTGCTGACCTTCTTCATCTGCATTTATTGTTGTATTTGGGATACAAGGGTTAGATCATCTGCAACGTCGAAATCGTTCAGCTGCATCCGAGCTGTCCACTTTGTTGCATGTCTCATAAAGCAGTAGACCAACAAGCGAAAGAGAAAAAGTGAGGATAATCAATCTTGTCTGATACCAGTCTTTACTTACAGTGAGTCTGTAAGCTGTCCTCCATACCCGATTTCACATTTTTATTCACCATGAGAGTTCTGCTTGATGTTAACTATCTTTTCAGGTACGCCGTCGTGTTGAGGAAGTCTCTGTAGTGGTGTACTGTCCTATCATATGCTTTCTCGTAGTCAGTGAAGTTGATGTATAGTGGTGATTTTCGTTCAGTGGTTGCCTCACAATTATTCGAGGTGTCGCAACTTGGTTGGCGGACGATCTATCTTTACGAAATCCAGTCTTCGAAGTTGGGTGTCTATTGAATCTGTCATGGGGTTTAACAATACTACTGATGAATTTTCCTGGTATTGAGAGAACACTGATACTTTTATAGTTTTGACAGTTGCCGAGATCTCCTTTCTTTGGTATCTTAATCAGATGTCCTTCTTTCCAAAATATTGGTTCTTGTCCTTCCTCTTAGATCTAGCTGAAGAGAGCACAGAGTTTTTACAGTTACTCTTATGTCTGCTTTCAGTTCCTCAGCTGGAATGTTGTATTGTTATTTCTCTTTGCCACTCTTGATTTATCTGATGTCCATGCTGATCTGCTCAACTGTTACTGGGTTAACATAAATTGGGAGTTTTGTTTGTTCTGCTTCAATCTTGGGTGGGTTGAGTAGGGCTGGTCGATTCAAGAGTTCTTCGAAGTGCTTTACTGACCCGTTTCTCTGTTCTTGAATGTTGATGAATGCTTTGCATATCTTGTTTGCCACTGGTCGTTCTAGTTTACGATAATTTCCAGAGAGCTTCTGTGTTGTATCGTGAAGTTGTCTTCCCTGGCAGCTTTTTCTGCAATCACTGCTAAATCTCCAACATATCTACGTTTGTCAGCTGTTATGCTCCTCCTCACTTGCTTGTATTTTTTTGTGTATTCAGCTTGTGCCTAGGCTTTTCCCGCTCTTGTTCGAATTTTATCTACTGCTGTCTTCCAGTTCTTCCTTTTTGCATCTTATCTAAAGTGTCAACAGAGATCTATTCCTTGTGACGGGGATCCTCGTGACAGGTTGAAGTTATTACATTCTTGATCCCTTTCCATTTTCTATCCATGGTAGTTTCTTCCTCGTTGAGTAGATCGTGAAACACATAGGTTTGCGAATCTCTCACTGTTTCCATTCCTTTCCATTCCAGTTTACATAGTCACATGATGTATTCATATCCGAAGTTTTCCATTACGTTGTTAGTATTTATCTCTTCTATCTGACTGCCCAAATCCTTTGTTGAGTAATGCTCGACAAATGACTTCAGCTACTCGTAGAATTGATCTTTAACGTCTTTATTGTTATCGTTGATAGGCCCAAAACCCCAGGTGAACTTCATTGTAATCCCCTATTTCTTTGTTTTGAAGTATGCTTTGATGATCCTGTGTCCATGGGATTCCCATCCTGTCAGTGCTTCTTGTGATTCTTAGAACAGAATTAGTACAACTCCTCGTATATCTGCAGTATTTGCTTCTTTATTTTCTGCTGAAACTAGTCTTACTTGTCCAATCAGTGTCCAAGGTGTTTTTTACTTATTCCAAGCAAAAACAAGTTGCAATTTTTCATTACCTCAGCAACTTGAATTGTTCTTCTGGTTTCCCACACTGTGATGATAACATTACATCTGCCGAACTTAATGGTCGTTGTGGTTATGAGAAGGGGCACTAGCCCAATGACTTCCGAAGGAACTTGGCTTTCGTCATGAGGCGTCGTAGGTCTTCTAAATTAAGACCTTCTAACGCCGAAGGGCAGAGTTTAAACGGTTTGAATTATTTTTTTTCGGGTTAGCATTTTTTTTGCAAGTAACATTAGAAGGCCTTTAGGCCTAGTTATGCAAACAGTAACTAAAAAAAAAAAATGAATTCATATGTCAAGTTAAAAACTGTGATTAAAATAATGACAATTAGAATTAGAAATCTTATTGTTTATAAATCTTAGCTAAAGCAGCAGCTTTGTTTAAGTTCACCGACTTATGTCCTAGTTTTCCCATTGAAAAGTATTACTACATTATATAACTTGATTTTATAAACAGATGAGTAAAGAGTTTAATGTCTGATAACAGATAATGTTTCATCCTAAACATCAATCTATAACCTATAGATAAGGCTAAAATAGGATTTAACCTTACAAAGCATAGAATTAGTTATAGATATCTATACAAAAGAGGAACATTAGTATCATATGTGTTCTTTCATTCTACAATAATCTGGACGTAAACACACTTTTTTTCTTAAATCATTAGAAACAAATGCTGAATCCTCCATGTACACTTCTAATCTAACCAAGTTAAACAAAATTTATTGAATTCCTACAACGTACTTATTATAACAAACACTGATGAGCCACTGCAATGTATCAAAATTCATGAATTTTTATGTTGAAACAATTGTTTTTCACAAATATGTATTTATATATATATATATATATATATATATATATATATATCAATGTATCGAATGTGTTACAGTTCAAAAATAATAATACATATCAATTATTTGTACAATAGAAAATAGACAAAATATAATTGAATCATTTGTTCATAATTTTTTTTTATTATCACGGACTACTCACTCACTCAAACAAACAAAATATATTTATATCATACTACTTACGAAATAGTATTCTATCTGCTACATGCTTGAGGTCTTTTTTTTTCTGTTTGAAAGAAAAGCAGTTATCTATTTTATTGTGAGCTGTTCCATTTCTTTTGCTTATTCGTGATTTTCCTTTTAGAAATGAATTTTTTTTTCCGAAAATTCGAAAACAAAATACCATGGAATTTCATTCATGTTTTTTTTCTGTATTTCCTGTATAATATACAATAAATAATTGTTTATGAATTGAATATATAAGAGGTATCTGTTTTCCAGCATAATTTTGTGTTTTTGCACGATTTACATTGTACAAAATATATTCACAATTTTACGTTATCCCTAATTTAATCAGTGAACCAACCAACTCATATTTCTTTAAAATATCACCTCTGATTGATTTGTCAACACTTGTCTTGTTTGTCTTCGCGCATATCGCCATAATCGTACGGATTCTTGTCGGAAACGTCGACTCATTATCAAATAGATAATCACATTAGCGCATGAATCTAAAACAACTAAACTTTTCAGCGCATTTGTCACTAAATCAAATTGTATACGATCAAATTTATATTCAAATGTTACACAAAAAAATACTGGTGCTTCAAATAAGATAAATACCACTGTTAACAATGTGATCATACGTGTAGCTCTGGCCTGATTATGCAATCGACGTTCGTTCAGTTTGTATTCTAGTAGAATTTGTTGTTGTCTTGTATGTGTGTAGTCAGGTTTGGAAGTACATGAATAACCACAACTAGTATTCATATTCATATTATTATTATTATTATTATTATTATTAGTAGTAGTAGTAGTAATATTAGAATTCTGAATACAGTTATGATCGATTTTATTTTGATCATTATTATTATTGTTATTACTTTTGTTTATTTCCAAACGTCTTGGCATTCTATCTGACATATTATGATGATTTAAATTGGGCAGTTTATGACGAAATAAGGCAATTAACATAATCACAGTTGTCAGCACAACAATCAATATTGGCAAAGCTGATTGAAATGTGAAAAACAAATCTTTTACAATACGCCATTCGGTATTCGGTATTAACATGATTCGATTATTTTGATTTAAACAAATATCTATATGCATTTCAAATAATCGTAAGGCGCTTAATATAAATCCTGTTGAAATACACCCGATAGTACACATTGCCATCCATGTAGGTTGAAATAAATGGGAATAAGTTTTACGTGATATCATTGGTTTAGCGATTGCTACACAACGTGCTAATGAGATTAATGTAATAGTCCAATTTCTTGAGCATAATGCACCACCGATTAAAACAAAACATGTTATATGTACAATTGTTTTATATAGATTTTGTTCATCATTTGGAAAATTAATTGTATAAAATAATGATATTAGAAATATCATTGAATTTAATAACACTTCAAATATTGTCAGTGTAATCAAATTAATACGCATTGAACCTAAACGTATTGCTTGTGCTCGTGTTAGCACAGTTAACGCTAAACAACTGATTATCAATGCGATAGGACTAAGAACAACCAGAAAGATATAAATTGGAGGTATATGAACTGTATCACTTTGATTATATGCAATGTATATAGTGCAATTGTGATTGTACGAGACGAAATTCATTTTTTATTTATGTATTTTTCTGTTTATAAAATTATGAGGAATTTTAATTTATTCCTGTTAACAAAAATGAAAAATTGAAATATTATTCAAATTGAATGATTGTGTAATTGAATTCATATCAGTAAAACAAGTAATTGTGAATTGGTTAATTTTTTTTTTAACTGATGTTGACTTCGTAAAATGAACCAATGGAATCATGAGAATATAATAATTTCCTCATTGGTCAATATTTTACAACATAGACCAATGGTAATCATTTCATTACATTATATGATAACTATGAGTAAAAATATCTTTTCAAAAGAGTGCAATCTTTTTGATCTGGCAAAAATAATCTTTTGTCTTAGTTCGATTTGAAGAGCCTCGGGGAGTTTTAGTCAACTCTGAAAATCTCAGTGTTACGTTGTTTTTAAAGCTTGTAAATAAGATTAATTATAAATTGAGATCTTCGGTAAACAAAATCACTTCAGTGATGTTAAATGTGAGATGATGGAGAAAATTTATAGCTCAGGTGGATGATTGTGGTGGTGTTTCGTTATCTGAACTGGATATTTTGGTTGTGAAGATGTCATTGTACTTCTGAACAACATCGTCAGCACAAACTTCAGATAGAAATGAAGCATTCGAATTTCTCCACGTTTGACCTGTAGCTTGTTCTGTTTACCTCGACGTTGATTGGTTGTTGTTGATCTTAAACCTGTCGTTGTTCGCACCTTTGTTTTGATTGTATGCCCCTTTTGATCTGTTTCGTGATCCTATGTCGCCTATGCTAAATGTCTACAAAATAGTAATCGTGATTAGCAATCTGTTGAAATGTTTAATCTACAGATATAAAAACTTGATTTCATTTTTTAAACTGTATACATTACTGGTATAATTTACAAAAAGACTCTCTCCCTCAGCTTGTCACAGTGTTAAACATTATAATTAACAAGCTGTGGCACATCAATGAGCTATAGTTTCTGTTTCCTTATTCTCCTATAGATAAGAATGAAATGTAATAAAAGCTGAATTTCTAAATGTCGAACTGCTTGAAACATATGTATCTTTTCTTTACACATATTTCCTAATAAAAAAATAATTAAATTCCATTGAGATTTTAAGCTAACATTTAAATAAACGTTTTGCTTGTTTGATTGTTGATTATAAAAATACAGCATATGAAAAAAAATAACACATATTGTGATGTGTTACACATCTACAGCTTGTCTTTATTCCCATCTAGCTACTCATATATTTTTGAATTAGTAAACGATGAACTCATAAAGAGAAAACAAAGCAATCACTCTATTCATCTCTAAGAAAAATGCACAACAGATAGAATTCTAGAGAGTAATAATCATATTGAGTTTATTTTGTCTGTGTAATTTAGGGAGATAATATGGAAATTTTTATTAGGCCCTGATTTGCTTTTAATAACCAATAAACAGTTCAGTTCAACGTTCATTTACTGTATACGTTAATCTATTCTGTTTTTTTTTTCAATGCATCACACAACAATACTGGCAAGAATTACATAAAATAATACATATATACTTATAAATAATAATGAAATTTATGGTTTGTTAGGTAGAGTCAAATGTATGTGTAAAAGTATTTTGTTGGCATTATCTTGTGGAATAAACCAGAGAAATGTTTTTGCAGTCAGTATGATTAAACTTAACTCATATCCTCACAAATGATTATGTTCAACCAAAAATTCCTCAAATGATCTATGGTATCAAGGAAGCTTAAGTTGAAAGGATAGATTTTCAGTCTTATGAGAAAAGTGATCTTGTTTTATTTCCAAACTGTCTAAAAGTAAAACTGATAAATTTAAATCAAATGCACAAAAACAACATACTCATGGAACAATGTGTAGGTTCGTTTGTTCAACCTTATGCAATTCAGTGTATTTGAACTCTGGATTTAATGAAAATATAGAATAAAGATGTGAAATCCACAATTATTCACAAATTCACTAGAAAATATCCCTATTTTCATTGTGTGATGATTAATTAAGTAGAATTTATTCGAATAAAATGAAGATTAAATGGATTTTTGTCTTGGTAAAATAATTGACCTAAAAAGATTTATAATCTACTTGAATAAATAATCTTAATTATGATTAAACTATTAACAACAAATCCATATTTAATAAAAACAACAAAATCATACATTTAATTTTTTTTACAATTTCAATAGTTTATTGTATAAAAAATAGTGAGATCTGTTTACAGATTATACTATAAATCAGTAATCTGTTTTTATATTTCATGGAAATTGAAACAAACTTAAATTAAAAGTGTCAATGTATAGTATTGTAGTTATTTTATTTGGTTTTAAATATTTTTTGAAACAAAAAAAAAAACAAAATTCACTTATGATTTTCACTAACTAGACATTGACATTCTATATGTCTTCTCCAAATTTAATGGGAATAAGTCAACCAGTCAATCAAATTTTATTTTTGCAAGCAAAAATGTTATTTTACTAGTTTTTATTGCAAACACTATAGAATTTGTATATATTTCCATAAATTATGCATTCCCACTGTGGTAGATTCATTTTGAACAAACTATGCATTCACACAATCGATTTCTTGTATTTCAAATCATGAAACTAGTAAACAATAATGAGTAGTCTTATCTTTAAGTATTACAGTTGCTGCCTTCAACAGTTTATTTTGACTAAGAGTCAATGATCATATCGAAATAGATTACGTAACTATACATGATAAGTAAAAGTACAACTTGATAGTAGGAACACAGGTGTACTGTTAGTGGTATGGATAATTAAAAAAACATTCACAAAAGTTCTTATCAGCAGTTCAACATTGGAAGAAGTAGGTCAAACTTAAATCAATAGACTTGAAATAATAATCACGGAAAATTTATCAAGAATCACGTAATGAGAAGTAGTATGCAGATAATTAGATAGTGAACAATGTCAGTGAATGATAAAAAAATAATAGGATGTAAAGGAAATGACAGTAAAACAAATTTCGGCCAAGGTAGGGATAGTGGTGTTACGAATTTCCTCCGGACACACAGATTGGGGTTGAACGTTTGGTCACCCATGGCTCCTGCTGTATGATAGATTATGCGGAATGATTTAACTTTTTTAAAACATAACTACAATCAGTCAAATGCGTCAAGATGGAGCTGCGGATTGTTTTTATCTGGCCCTTTCCAGATTACGTTAGGAGATGTTCACTCATTCGTTGGTTAAGTTGCCTGGTAGTATATATATATATATATATATATATATATATATATATATATATATATATATATATATATATATATATATATATATATATATATATATATAGAATGTTCGACTAATTCTTTCTCTTATCTAATATACCGGACATCGTTAGCCGCTACAACTAATACTCCTGTTGTTTAGAAACAAATGAACATATTTGTGCCAATGTGAGTTAGTTCACATCGTATCACCTACCGTTTCAATAAACACAGTTTATGATTGTCGCGTTTCTGGAATACACGGTTTTTGCACTGTGTAACATGATGCAATCCAGTAGTGCATAAACTTATGATCACTTTTGAATTTTATTATGCTAACCCGACTTATATGTTTGAAGTCGGTGGTAACCCGATCATGTATGAAACATATTGTCAAGTAGCAGTTGTGAGGTTTCAGTAAAGCTGGATAATAGCAGGTAATTATATTCAGGATGTATGTCTCGTCTTGTTTAGGACTTAATAGCTCCAAGAATTATGCATTTACATATATATACATACGTTCTCACAGTGGTAGATTTATTTTGAACAGATTATAGATTCACGCAACTGATTTCTTGTTTTTCAAAACATGAAACCGATCAACAGTATGAATAGTCTTATCTTTAAGGATTACAGTAGAGGCCTTCAACAGTTTGTTTTGACATATTCATTTTTTTCACACTTATTGAGTTTTCTCAGTATAATTATTTACACATACTGATATCTTATAATGTTTCAGCCTAAATAAACTTCTTATCTGTCATTTGTCTAATCAGAATTGCTAGACAGCATTATGAAATGCTGAAACTATCAGTTGATCAGAAACAAATATATTCAGGAAAAGTAAATTGATTTAACAACGAATAGTTACATTTTATTTTCCAAATTAATCTGATAATGCTGCCTTGTTATAAAAAAAATTAAACATTAGTAACTTAATAGTTGAAACTTAAGTTCCCTTCATCAAATATATTATTATTGGGGAATAGTGAAAAACGATAAATGTCTACTCATGATGTCAAAAATCGACTTGGTATATATATATATATATATACGATGTACTGATAACGAACAATACTACTTCACGTTTACATTCTAACCATTTGAAATCTTGTTGAAAATAATTTAAAATCAAAACCAATAAAATGACACTCCAGATTTATTACCTCATTCGTTTCACGAATCACTGTTCATCAGTACAGTAAGCTTAACATCTTATCTGTATTTAACATTAAATTTTTATTAAGTACACATTTAAAAAATGTATTCAATGAATATTTTGCATTTTTATATTTTTTTGTTTAAAACATTTCAACTTTACTAAAACGAAAGAAAGTAAAGTAAATGATTAGTTTTTGGCATGAATCAAACACTTGTACACACATTTTTGATATGTATCTATTGCAAATGTGAAGTGCTTATGTGAAAACTGAAAATCTTGATTAGATTTTCAATTCTATCCATTGATATGATGATCTTGAGATGGTGGAATGATATTTCACAACATAAAATTACTTTGTTACATGCAATAGATTTGATTTTACTGATCACATTTCTTACTGGAAGCAACAGATGACAGTATAGTGTTTCTGAAAATTTGAAATTTACCTAAGCTAACTGTTCTATGGGCATGATCGATTGAAATAGTGTTATCGTTACTGAGTGATATACGATATTGCGCTTATTCTTCTAGTATCTCGACTCCTATGGGATTTGAACTGAAAGTTGCGTCTCAAGGCTAATGTGGTATGGCAACCTGTGCTTACGTACTTACGTACGAAGTTCCACGTTTTAACTGACTGACTGAATGACTGACAGC